CTGGGTGGGCACGTGCGTGGATGGTTGGAGAGTGGGTGGGACCCTAGAGGGAAGGGTGGCCTCTCTCCCACTGCGGTTTGGACTGTGTGCGTGGGAGTGGACCCCTGGGTCCCTGAGGACACTGCCTGGCGGGCCCAGCACCAGCTCTGTCCCTCTGGGCGCCGAGTGACCTGGGACCAGTGGGCACCTCTGTGTTTCAGTCCCACGTTCTTGCCCCAAGCCGTAGTCCTTTGTTTTCTGTTTGGGGGTTTTGCGGCTGTATTTGTGCTTGATTTGGGGGCTCACCTGAGGGCGCCCAGGGATTGCTCCTGGCTCTGTGCCCAGGGGTCACGTCTGGCAGTGCTGAGGTGACCATAGTTCAGTTCTGGGCAGCCACAGGCAAAGGCAAGCGGCTCACTTGTGGGTTCGCTCCCCAACCCCCACCCTCCCCGCCTCTGTTCTTGGTGGGATGCCTGTTCCGCTGTCATGGGCGCGTTCATCGGGGTCTTCCTGCCCCTCTCTGCCATTTCGGGCGGGGGGAGCCCGCACACTTGATGTGGGCCCGAGGGTGACACGTGGTGGCACACGGGAAAGCAGGGGGCCTGGGGCAGGGGGGGGCTCGAGCTCACACACCAGGCCCGCCACGGAGATGCCCCACCCCTGCCTGCCCCTCCCATGGCCCCCACCACCCCGCCCCCCCCTTCAGGAAGATGCTGGTTTAAGTGGATGGAGGGCGGGTAGGTGGGACTCGGCCCCCCACCAGGAAAGGTGGGAGCTGAAGTGGGAACAGCAGGCCAGGGGCCCTCTCTGGCACTGCAGGGGTGTTGGGGGGAGCAGGAGACTCCCAGCCTCAGGCACTATTAGTCCAGACTGGTCCCCCCATGATGGGAGAGGGGGGACTCTCAGCCCAGAGGGGAGGCCTGGAGGGAGGCTGGCTCCACGCCCCCCAACCCCCACCACGAGGGGGCCATCCCCTCCCATACTCACCCCTGTCCTGGGAAGGCCACTCGGTTCATGACCCCCCCACTGTCTTGGGGAGCCCCGGGGGTCCACTAAAGGCTGGAGAGGTGGCGGCACAGAGGGGGGAGTTGTGGGGGGGGTCAGGGGGCGGGGTCAGGAGGGGCCCAGGGCTGTGGTGGAAGGGAGGGGCCAGCAAGCCAGGGAACTTTCTGGAAGCTTCTCTCATCCTCCGGCTAAGTGGCAGCCCAGGGTCACAGGATGACCCACGCCCGGCAGCGTTCCTGTGCCTCGGACCCAGGGTCACGGCCGAGCAAGAGCTGGGGACCCCCAGCAGCCACGGGGGCTTCTGTTTTGTTTTTTTGGAGGCCACACCTCGCGATGCTCAGGGGTTACTCCTGGCTCAGTGCTCAGGGATCTCCTGGTGGTGCTTGGGGGACCCTAGGGGGTGCCGGGATGAATCCGGTCAGCCAAGTTAGAGGCACAAATTCTTCCTGCTGTGCTCTTGCTCGGCCGGCCACCCGGGTTTCTGTGAAGCGAGCCATGTTCTTACCTCCCTCTGGAAGGGAATCTGGGTGCAGGGCTGAGTGAGGCCGCTTCCGGGAAGCATCTGCGTTCCCACCCCATCCCCACCTGCTCCTCCGCACTGGGGCCGGGGGGCTACGGGCACTTGTTGGGGATCAAGGATTCAATTCCCGGGCCAAGTCAGCCTCCTGACACATTCCCAGTTCTGTGTCTGACGCGGGTTCAGCACCTTCCGACCCGCAGCACTTTCCGGGTTCCTACTGCCCTGGGGTGCAGCCTTGGGGTCCCGGGGTGGAGGGGGGGGGAACCTGGGCGGGATGCCCCGGCAGTGTGTTTAGGTTGGGGGGGGGGGGGTCCTCAGCGCTGGGCCGGGCTGTGCTCAGCCGCTGGTGCTCACATAGCCTGACAGCGGCCAGACGCCCCCAACACCGGTGCAGACACAGAACCCCTTCTCCCCCCAGGTCTGTGCTGAGCTCCCCACCTCGCCACACTGCCACCAGGGGCGCAGGGGAGCTGGGGAATGGGGGTGGCCAGAAGGGCTGGCAGTGGAGACAGGGGCTGCAGGGAGGGAGAGTGGGGGTTGGAGAGAGGGGGAGGGGCTGGAGGGGGAGAGGGAGGAGGGCAGGGTTTTGAGAGGAGGGGGGACTGGAGGTGGAGAGAGGGAGGGAGGGGGTCAGGGCTGGAGGAAGGGGGGGGAAGGGGGAGGACCAGGTCTGGGGGCGGAGTCATGTCTGGGGTGGGCGTGGCCAAGGTTGTGGGCGGGGCATCCTGGGGCGGGGCGGGGCAGCGCAGAGGCCGGTGCTGGGTGGGTCCCAGTGACCCGGTTCTGGTCCGGCAGAGCTGCCAGATATGCCCGGCCCTCTTCCTCAGCCGTGGTCCAGCCTGGGGGGACGTGGTGCCTTTAAGCCTCTGCCTGCGGGGCTCCTGGGGGTCTCTGGACCGGCCCCTCCTTCCCGCTCTGCAGGGCCCTGGGCCGCCCATCCGCTCCTCCAGGGTGGCCGCTCGCGACCACCGCTGACAGCCCAGCTGCGTCCCCGGTTCGCTTAATAGCTATTTATCATCCCCCATCTCCCCGTTTTCAAAAAGGAAGAAGTTAAGTGCTCCAGAAATTGGAAAAAAATTGAAATTTGACCTTTATTAACTGGGTTAATTGTCAAAATCTCTGCTTGTAAAAAAAAAATTAATGACCAAAAAAAGTAGAACTTTCAGAGTTTCCGAGATTAGGTTAATGTCCAAGGAAGTATAAACTTTGACCTTCTTGACACATGTCAGAAGTAACATCCAGCTTAATAAATTGCGCCCGAGAGCAATTATAATATTTCTCCGTTTCCAATCATGCCATTTAATTGCTGCTGGAAATCCCAGGGAGAGGACAGCCCGGGGGAGTGCTCAGAGCCGGTGGCTGGTGGAGCCGAGGGGACTTCTGGGCTCCGTCACTCCTGGCCGGGCAGGGACCTGGAGGGCAGTGTCCTCGCTCCGGGTCCATTTCAGACTCTGGAGCTGGGCACGTCCGCATTCCTGGGGTGAATGGGCATGTCCTCGGAGACCACCTTTTGGCCCCAGTTTAAGGCCAGCACCCTCGCCCGTGGGGTCCGCTCTCCGCTGTTGTTCAGGGGCTCACCCCTAAAAGCACATCTCAGCAGCCCGGGGTACAGCCGACTCCGTGCAAGCTGGCTCATGGACCGTCCCCCAAAACTGTCCACCACTCGCTGGCTCAGTGGCATGAACGGCCAAGAGGCTCTATATCCTTTCAGTTCTGACTCAAACCAGAGAAAGTCCCTTAGGATGAAACACACTGTAACACTGTTCATCAAGTTACTCAAGCAGGCACCAGTAATGTCTCCAGTATGAAACTCGTTACTGTTTTTGGCATATCTAATAGTCACGGGTAGCTTACCAGGCTTTGCCATGTGGGCGGGATACTCTTGGTAGCTTGCCGGGCTCTCCGAGAGGGATGGAGGAATCGAACTTGGGTCGGCCGCGTGCAAGGCAAATGCCCTACCCGCTGTGCTATCCCTCCAGCCCATGAATGAAAACAGTAACACCAAAGGCTCAAACTGCAAAAAATTTGGGGGGGGGGGGGGCGGTGTTGGGCCACACCCGGCAATCCTCGGGGGTCACTCCTGACAGGGCTTAGGGGACACTGTAGGGTGCCAGAGATGGAACCAAGCACGCTGCCCACTGTCCTATCGCTCCGGCCCTGAGACCGCCTCTTCGCCAGCAGTGACTCCAGGGGTGGGTTCTGGGCACCCCATGATCCCAGCCGTGTCTGCTGTGCTCAGGCCCCTCTCCTGGGGGGGCCTTGCCGGCCCATGGCCAGCGCGTGTGGACAATGGGCAGCTTTTTGACCACTGTGTACGCAAGACAGAACCCGTGTGGCACTCCCCCTGGGACATGGCCCAGCAGCCCAAGAAGTAAACTGGGACGGGGTTCGAGAGAGTTTTCAGGACAGACGGCCACGAGGTGCTTCTGTCAGATTCCGTCAGTCACGTCCCCCTTTGCAAAAGCGTAGGCTTAGGGAGGTTCCAAGTCCACACCCTGGAGTCACGGGGACACAATGCATGTGGGTGCTGCCCTCCATCTGCCAAGGGTCACTGTCAGCTTAGCCAGGCCACCAGCCCACGGGGCCAGGAGGTGGGCAGCTGGGCACTGGAGTGTCTCCACCCACCGGGGCAGAGTCCATTCACAGAAGGGTCCATGCCCTCCTTCACTGGACAGTGACCAGGAAGTCGGGATGCAGCAGGGTGGGGGCAAACCCCATAGCAGCAGAGAGCCTGGCAACAGATGCGGAAGCCCAAGCCCAGTGCCAACACGACCCCTGACCAACGCCATATCCAACCAGAACAAGCCTCACCAGCAAGAACACTGGACAGTTTGACACGTGAGAACAGGGACAGTCTGACCCATGAGAAGAGGGACAGTCCGACCCAGCGAGAACACTGGACAGTCCGACCTGGCGAGAACATGGGACAGTCTGTCCTGGCGAGAAACACGGGACAGTCTGTAACAGCGATGTAACAGCAATGTTACGGACCCCAACAGACGGCAAGAATGGGCAGGCCTTGAAAAGAGAAGAACCATGGGACCCAGTGCAGGGGTGCGAGGGGTTGGGGGGGGGGGGGGGAAATGAGGGACCGACTGGGTGTCACAGGAAGAGGGGGTGATGAAGCCAGTGTCACAGGAGAGGGGAGGAGGGCCCTGGTGTCACAGGGAGGGGAGGCCCACCCACCAGCCCCCTAAACCGCAGCTTTCTGTTCCCGCCCGGGTTTTCCAGGCCTTACACTGTGATGTTTCCTAGGCCCCGGGCCGGTGAGGGGCGCCCTGTCATGTGTCCCCCAAGGCCCCTCCCGCTGGCACAGGTCTAGGGCGGCAATTCTGCCCGTGTAGCAGGGGACCCGGTTACACCCGAGCTCCGTCAAAAGGGATGTGGAAGAGCCTGGCCCGCCCCAGCGCAAAGGAACAGACAGAAGCGTTTGTCATGTTTTCCTTTTAATAAAGCTTTTTACTCAAAAGTGTAGCTTTGAAAATGTCTAGCTTGTGAAAACCAGGAAAGCTGGGGGCCCCCTGGCTGTGACCGCAGCCGCGGGGCGGGGCGACGTGGGATGGGGGGCCGCTGGGAGGAGGGGGGCTGCCTGCTCCCTGCTCCTCCAGAACCAACGGCGCCCCCCTCCCGTCAGGGCTGGCACCTGGGGGTGCGCAGCCCCCTCGGATTCCAGGGCAAGGGACAAGATTTAATACAGTGAAACAGAACGCAAAAGCTAAGAAACAGATCTTTAGAAATCACTAGGGAAGCAAGTGGTCAAAGAATCCGGGTTATGAACATTAAAACTAGGAACCGTAAGCCTGCCACCTTACCTTCTTTGGGTACTGGGGTGAGTGTCTTGGTTTTTGGCGGTGGGGCACTGGAGAGGGGGGCGGGATTCTGACAGACTCCCGAGTCCGGCCCCACACGGCCCACGGCCCCCGCGGCTGGCAGTGCAGTGGGCACTGGGGGAGTGCTCCCACCCGTCTCCCGCGCGAACTGCCCGGTGCGAGATGGCAATCTCAATCAAAAAGGGATGCTAGATATTTTAAATAACTTAAAAAAAAATCATTTCATAGAAAGCAGCAAAAAACGTATTTTCCTCTCTGCAGAAAGCAACCGGCGCTGTGCCCCGACGGCCCGCGGCCCTGGGAGTGGACGCCCGGCCATCTGCGCCGCCCGGCTACCCCTGGAGCCCGCCGGCGCTGTCTGGAGGACACTCTCTGGCGCCTTCGGCCAGCCTCTGACCGGCTCCCGCGGGGGAGTCCTCCTTGTCCGGCCGGGTCCCGTTGGGGATGACGCTGTCCCCATTGACGAGCCGGTGAGTCAGGGCCTCCTGCACGCCCGCCGGCCCATCCAGGTTCCGCAGGCCCAGGGGCAGCCGCGAGTCGGCCCCGCCGGCCTCCAGCAGCCCCAGGCCGCTCTCCTCGTACTTGGGCAGCGGGGCGGCCGCCTCCATCTGCCGCCGGAAGTGCTCCCGGCTGGCCGCGGCGCTCCTCACGGCCTTCTCCAGGATCTCCTTCTCGCCCAGCCGCAGCTTGATGGCCATGGTGGCGCGCGTGGACAGGTTGTGACTCTGCAGGAAGGACTTGTCCTCCTGGGAGAGAAAGAGAAAGAACAGACACGGGGACCGTGGGCGCCTCGACCCGCAAAACCGGCACGGCAGAGGCGGGGCCGCTGTGCCGGGGTGGCGCGAGGAAGGGGGGGGTGCAGACACAGAAGGTTCTAGAACTTGACTGTGAGGGAGGTTGCCTGACTGTACACACTGACATTTCAAGAACAACACTTCAGAGCCGTTTTACCGTATATGCATCACACTTAAACAAAAAGCAAAACAACCCCCCCCCCAAAAAAAAAACGGTCAACCGAGAAAGACCCTTGGATCCAACGGTGACTGCTTGAAAGCCACCCAGGGTGGGGGCGGTGACGGGCGGCAGGGCGGGGAGCAGCTGGATGACTGTCGGGGGTTGGTGTCGCCGAGACAATAGAAAAACACTTAATAGAGTTCGGGGGAAGAGTGAGCGATTCAGACAAAGATCCCACAAAAGCAAATGGAACCTGTCAAATACATAATTTTGCTAAAAACTTCAGAGGAATGTACCCAAAATGGCGCTCAAAAGAGAAACCCCCAGGGGCTGGGGAGTTCAGAGCAAGGAAGGCGCACGGGCCCATGGCCGGTGGTGTTCAATCCCGGGCACCCATCCAGGCCTGGGCGCAGCCAGGAGCGAGCCCTGAGCACGGAGCCAGGAGTCGGCCCCGAGCACTGCCGGGTGTGGCCCGAACAGGTCCCTGGGGACGAGAGGCACACGCGTTCCAGGGAGCCCTCGGCCCCTCCTCACCTCGATGGTCGTCTTGTAGGTCTTCAGCAGCAGCGAGGCGCGGTCCTCCAGGAAGGTCCAGAGCCGCACCTCGTTGTCCCAGCTGACGGGGTACTCGGAGTTGCCCAGCGTGAAGATCCTGTCGATGGCGTTCTCGCCCAGGAGGTGCTCCCTCAGCTCCTCTACAACACACACGCACACACACGCGCACACGTGAGGGATCCGCACCGCGACCCCACGCAGCCCCACTGCCGCGGCAGCGCCCACTCCCTGAGACCTGCTGGACGCTGCAGGATCCAGGCCAGAGGGAGGCTGGGGGGGAAGGGGGGCAGAGGAAGGCGAGACTGGACACGCCCTGGTGTTCGGTGGGTCGCTGAGTCCCACGAGCTGTGCTGCAAACCCCGTCGTGTGCGGGCCACCCCCGTCCACCCCCGCAGCGGGCCGCACCACAGTGCCTGTGGCCTTGACTTGCCCGGGTCCCACAGGGCTCGGGAGAAAGCAGAGACACACGCGCGAGTGTCCGTCCCGTCACACCGGCGCTGGGCAAGGAAACTCAGCAACGCTCAAGCTCCGGGGTGCCCGGCGAGCCCCACGCTGGCCAACACTGCCTCTCTCAGAGCTGCCTGCCCGCGCCCCCTCGGTAACTGGGAGCAGGGGAGCTGGGGGAGGGGGGCGAAAGCTGCCACCAAAGCACCCCCTGCTGGCAGTCGACCCTCCGACGGCGTCAGGAGAGCCGAGGAGACGTGTAGTCCTGGCAGGACCAAGGAGGAGCTGATCAGGGCCCAGAGGAGCAAGCCCGACGGTGCTATGCCAACGTCACGGGAGACACTGGGTCCTCACCAGGGCACTGCTCCCGATGTGCCAAGGAGAGGCTGGCCTCGGACCCGAGCCCAGCTCTGCACCCGAGCGAGGGGCGGCAGCCTGGTGTGAGGCTGGGGAGGGGGCAGGCTCGGGTTCAGGGGGGCCCAGAACCAGAGTCCTCTGGACCAGGCCAAGACGCACGCTCACCGCCGTGGCCACCAGCTCACCCGTGCTCGGGAGGGGGGGGTCTCCAGGGGAGGGGCCCACTCTAAAGCCGTCTAAGGAGCTGCCACGCCTCCCACTCCTCGGTCAAAGCCCCTGGGTGCTCCCCTGCCCCGGAAGCAATTACCTTCGGTCATGCAGAAGACACGGAGGAAGGCCAGCAGCTGGGCAGAGATGGGCAGCTCAGTGACGTGCAGGGCAAAGACGCTGGAGCTGCCAAGGGCAGGAGGCGGGTGAGTGGGCGGGACGGGACCCTCTCGGCTCCCAGGTCCCCGGGTCAGATCCTTTCAGCCCCACCTGGGGCCGGGCTGGGGGGTGGGGGGGCTCAGGGTGGCGCTGGAAGGCCGGCCAGAGCCAGTGGGCCCGCCAGGGCAGCGCGGGACGAGGCCCACTCAGGCCACCCCAGGAGCGCCAGCGGAACGGAGCCGAGCACTAAACTAGCCCCGGTCACTGAAAACGGTCCCCTCTGATTTACGACCAGGTCACCTTTTAATCGTTCATCAAATATTGGCACGTGCAATTAAAAAAAAAGGTCTGGATAATCCATTATCATTAGGAATGGTTCCTCCGCTCCCCGGGGGGCTAATAAATCATAATCCGCTGTTAATTCGCTGTTCATCATTCTGCGCCCCAAATGCAGGAAAATCCTGGAGAAGTCAGCCGGAAATCCCCGGGCTCCCCGCGGGGGAGGCGCCACCAGGGACTAAGGCAGGCGGGACGGGCAGGCGCAGGCGGTCGCGCGCTGGGGGCCCACGGCGGCCCCCCCTACTCACGTGGGGATGCCGGCGCGGGCCAGGACCTCGGCCTTCATGGCGTACAGCCGGTCACTCTTGCTCACGCCGAGTTTGATTTTCACTCTGTCGTGTGAATTATTGTCAAAGAAAAACCCACTGTGGACCACAAACTCTGCATTTGACCGAGCGCCATAGAAAATGTAAATCTGAGATGCAGCAAAGGGGAGATAAAGGGACAGGAAAGACACTTAACATCCGTTCTCAGGAGCCCGCGGGCAGCCCCACCGCGCTGGCACACACCCCTCCGCGCAGTGCTCCACCCCCCCATCCCCCCGACTGAGCCTGCCGCAGAAGGCGTGTCCCCAACACGGTCACCGCCCGCGCACGCTGACACAGAGCTCAGCGCTCACCTCAACGCCCACGGCCTCCCCGGGCCTCCTGCTGACCTGCTCTCGGCTGGCCCCCCCCCACCAGTGACAGAAACCGAGCTAGCCCGCAAACACTAACCCCCCACCCCCACCGCAGACACGGGCCGAGCCCAGACCCACTCTGGGACACAAACGGCCCTGAGTCCCCGCACCGACCTCTCCCCTGGGCTGAGCACCTGCCTGCGATGGTCCCCCGCGCCCGCAAGCGGACACCCACCTGCTCTCCCGCCCGGAAGTCCTGCAGCGCGACGCACTCGCAGCGGTCATCTTCCAGGTTGTAGCCGGTGGTGATCTGCGGGGGGGAGGCGGCAGCTGGAGCCCGAGGTGGCAGCAGCCCCGAGGGGGACAGCGGCCAGAGGGACCCAAGGAGGCCACTGTGCACCCCAGAAACTGACGGGGAGACCCTACACCTGACCGGAAGTGCTTCCTCTGCACACACACGCGTGGACACAGACAGACAGGCATAGTCACACACTTGTGAACATGCACACGAAGCACACATGATGGACATACATGTATGGTGTGGTCACACACAGATACACGGATCCATGTATGGGTATGCACGCTCAAGAGACTCGTGTATGGTCACACATGGACACATGTATGGACATGCACACGGACACAAGCATACTGGGCACACATATGGAGATGCAGATGGATGCACACACAGGCACACATGTATGGTCACACATACAAACACATGGATACACGTATGAATATGCACGCTCAGACGCACAATGGGCACACGCATGGACACACATATAGGACATGCACATGAATGTATACCTGGGCACACATGCATGGACACACACATGAACAGACGCGTGTGGACATGCACACATATAAATACGAGCATGAGCACACTCATGGGGACACGCGTGGATCCGTGCCCATGAAAGCAGGGTCTCTGGAGGGCCATCATCCTCCACTGTTGGACCCGTGGGACACGAACACGCGTGTGTGCACCCACGTTACAGACCCAGAGGCAGGGTCCCTGGAGGACCAACGACATCTACTCTCTGGCCACCAGGAAACTGAGGCTCTGGGAAAGGCCGTTTCTGAATCCTGCGCACTTTACCCTGAAGCTGAGGCCACTTCCAGCCCACCATCCTCAAACCCAGCCCATGGGGCGAGACCGGGTCCCCACACTGGACAGAGAGGTGCCCTTGGGGCACGGGCTGGTCAGCCCCGCTGTGGGGCAGGCTGGCTGCCTGCTGGAACCTCGCAGAACCTGGCCAGCCAGCCCCACAGGAGGGGCCAGCCCATGTGGGGCCAAGGGGCAGCACCCCCGAGCACCCCAGGACAACAGCACCGCCACCTGCAGGAGTGACCCGAGCCTCGCTCTGAGCTAAGGAGGCGAGTGTGGCCGGGGCGCAGGCAGGCCCTCCCCACAGGCTCTGGGCCGTCTGCTTACAATAAAGAGTGTGCTTTTGGGGCTGGAGCGATAGCGCAACAGGGAGGGCGTTTGCCTTGCACATGGTCTAACCCAGGTTCGATTCCCAGCATCCCATAGGGTCCCGAGCACGGCCAGGAGTAATTCCTGAGTGCATGAGCCAGGAGTAACTCCTGTGCATCGCTGGGTGTGACCCAAAAAGCAAAAAACAAAAAACAAAAACAAAAACGTGCTTTTGACTTCACAAATGTAAAACAAGCTCTAAGGCCCCATCAGTTTGGGAACCAAGGGTTAATTTCTCAAAGTGGGGAAACGGGCTGGAGCAACAGCACAACGGAGAGGGCAATTTGCCTTGCACGCAGCCGACCCGGGTTCGATTCCCAGCATCCCATATGGTCCCCTGAGCACCGCCAGGGGTAATTCCTGAGTGCAGAGCCAGGAGTGACCCCTGAGCCTTGTTGGGTGTGACCCAAAACGAAAAAAAAAAAGAAAGTGGGGAAACACAAGCGTCCAACGTTAAAAGCCACTTGAAACTGTTTTAAAGCTTCAATATTACCAGGTTAAAATAGGGCTGAGAGGGGAAAAGAAATAATGTAAAATCTGGTTTGTGCCCCCCCCCCCCCCCCCCCAACCAGGGACAGGGACAGCTGCCGGCTCTACCCGGCCCTGCACTCAGCACTCACACTCGGGGCTGCGTGGAACTCGAAGCAAAACCCCAGCCTTTCCGGGCCAATTCTAAAACGTTAGGAGCAGAGAGAGCCAATGTGGAGAAGGGGGGCGATGAGAGGGGGCTGGGGGAACTGACCCCCGCGGTAGGCCGAGACAGCAGCGGCCCCCAGCCCCTCCACCCACCCACGGTCCCCGCCAAGGGTCGCTCCCCCCTTGCCAGGGACCCCAGGCTGCTGACCCCGGGGGACACAGGGACGGGAAAACAGCAGGGAAGTGACAGTGACAGGAAGGAATGGGGGGGGGGGGGGTGCTGACGGGGGCGAGGGGAGGAGGGGAGGGCCCAACCCTCGGGCATGGAGAAGGACACTTGGGCTGTGTCCAGCGTTCCTCCAGGTGGCGGAGAAGCGCGTCCTCACCAGGCCATTGGTGTGGTTGCACATGTCCCACAGAGGAATGAGCGCCAGGGTCACCCGCGAGCCGTCCTCCGTGGGGATCTGGTTCTGTCGGGTCATGACAGATGAGACGGCCCACCTGGAAGGAGAAGAGCAGAGGGGGTGACGGGGGCGGGGGTCGCCGGGACCAGCCCCCGCAGCCGCCTCCTCCCACTCACAGGTGCTGCCAGCATTTCCGAGCCCCGTGGCAAGAGGTGGGGGGGGGTCACTCCCCGCCCCCAGGGACCCCCCCAACCCCGCTCTCCAGCAAGCTGAGGGCTCCGAGAAGAGCAATGCCCCCCCCCCCGCCCATCTGACGGGAATCCAGGAGAGACTCCTGAGAACGAAGGCTGCTATTTTTAACACGCGTGCAGGGGAACTGCATCTCTTTGTCCCAGAATGTCCCCACTTGACACTGGCATCGCCCACTGGCGAGGGAGGTGGCCTGCAACGGCGGCCTCACGCGCCCGAGCTCAGGCATCGCCTCACTGACCTCCCCTCCCGCTTGGCGCTACCGGAGTGGGGCAACATCGCCCCCCAGCTGCCCTCAGTGCCTGGACACTCGTTCCCCTGACCCACAGTGTCTGTTCTGGGCTCTAAACAGTCCCACAGACAAGTCCCGGGGATGGACGCCACTTCCTCACTTCTGAGATCACACATCCACTGACCGCCCCCTTACACACACACACACACACACACACACACACACACACACACACATCCACTGACCGCCCCCTTCCCAACACACAAACACACACACGCATGCACACACACACACACGCACGTACACATGCACCAACACATGCGTACCCACGCACACACATGCACCCACGCCCACGTGTGCCCGCCCCACACCAACCTGTAGTCCTCGTACGTGAAAGACTCCTTCAAGGGCAGCTTGTTGGCGTGAGGATGGGTCTGGGCGTTGGAGGTTCCAGAGAGCGGTGACGGCGGCGAGGAGAGGAGACGGCAAAGAGGGATCAGTCAGCGCAATTTCATTAACAGGCCGCCTCAGCGATCTAACGAGGGGCCCGAGGAAGCGGGCGCGGCGGGGACGGCCGCGCGGGGGGACGCGTCCATGCATCACTGTCAACTTAATTTGTTGTGCCCACCAGCCGCCATAAATCTGCTTCATATTCCGATGCAGGGACCCAGACGCCGCCCAAAAAAATGCGGTTTAAGGCAGGCTGCGTCCCCCGCAAGGAGGCCGCTGAGGGCCTGAGGCGCTCCCGGCTGGGACGTGCCTTCCTCGACCTCCCTGGGAACGAAGATCTCCCAGACCAGAGCAGAGCAGCGTGTTTAAATGTTTAAATGGTGCTTTCTTATTTTTTTTTTTAATTTCCTGAAATTTCCCCCCCCCCCGCCCCACCCCTACGTGGTGGGGGTTGGGGAGGTGGGAACTCTTGGTAAAAATATCTAAAAACTTCACGCTAGAGAAAACTGCTCGCCTTTCAGCGGGTCTCTCCATGAGCGCCCCGCCCCCACCCCAGGCCCTGAGAAACTTCTAGACGGCAGGAATCTGAGCCGGGTCTGGGGCAGGCCGTGCCTCCCGCCCGGCTGTCGGGCAGATTTCCGCAGAGGGAGAGCGAGGACCCGCGGTGGGCTCAGTCGTCCACGGCCTCTGCTGTCCAGCGCTGCGGAGCTGATTTATGGCCAGGCACAGGCTGGGGGGGTGGGGTAGTGGGGGGGAGGAGGGAACAGGGGAGGCAGAAACCGTAGATCAATTAGGAAACAAAAGCCAGAGCGCAGGATTTTAGGCAAATTAGAGCCGACAAAGGGCTGCCAATTGGGTGCTGGCTCAAGCAGCTCGCCCCTTCCTATGCCTCAGCCCGGTGTTAACCCTTCGGAAGGAAAAAAAAAATCAAAACTATGAAAACAGGCGATTTTTAAATGTCATGCTAATCACAGTGAAATGAAAGATGATATATTTTAAGTCAATATGTAAAATAACACAGTGCCCCGGGGCATTCTCAAGCTGCTACAGGAAATGCAGAAAATCCTGTGTTGGGGGGGTGGGGGGGAGAAATAATAACAACAATGATCAGAGGAGTGGGTGAAACTCAGCTGCCGGGCCTGAAACCACTCACCCTTCCAGCCCTCAGCGAAGGCCAGCAAGCTGGTGGCACAGGGGACACAGGGGACGTCGCAGGAAAGTTGAGAACTGCCACCCCACGCCCTCCAGCCAGAGGGAACGGGACAGGACCAGAGACAAGGCAGCTTTCGTGCCAAAATGCATTTCCTTTTCTCTCCTGATAAATGAACTCGCCACCGCAGGGATGGGGGGGTTCTCTATCGCTGACTCAGTTACTTTACACTGGCATCGGCACTCACCAGTAGCCCCCCAAAGCTGGAAGTCCCAGGCTAAATCCTGTCACTGCCACAAACCAGGCCCCCACCCGGGCTGGACTCCCTGAGTCGGGAGGGGAAAAAGGGGAACTTGTCAAAATCAGGATGTCAGGGTCCGGGTGACCCGGAACCGCTTCTAAACTCCGGGATCTTTGACCCTCCATGTAACGACGAGGCAGCAACCTCTGCGGGCCAAGGGGATGGGAAGCCAGCGCCAACCTGTCGGCCCCCCGATGGGTCCGTCTAACCCGGCCCCCGGCCCCCGGCCCCGGTGAGGCCGCACGGAGAGCTGCAGAATAAAAATGTGCAAACGTTTCCTTCCCATTAATGGGAGATTGTTTTAGCTACTGGGTTATGTAATATTTTCAAGAGTCTGTTAGAAATCGTTGTTCTTATCTGCCTGGAAAAAAAAATAGGGTGTGCCGACTGCACATAATTCTGGTATAAAAAGCTGTTCTGCGGAAGACACAGGCACTTAGCGTCTACACTGAAGCCGGCTCTGACAGCCGGAGCGGGCGCGGGGGCCACTTCCTCCGCCAGGCCTCGCCGCCGTGGCACTACCGCCACCTACTGGCCACGGCCGGACACGCTCCGTCTCCCCAGGGCTCTGGCTGCAGCCACGGGCCAGAGGACAACGGACCGAGGACGGCCACCACCGTTTGAGCTTCTCACGTGCGACACGTGAGCTCCGGGGAAAACAAAATCGCCCCCACTTCTTTGGAGCCCCTCGGGGGTATTTGCACAAGGATCTGGAAACAGCCTGTGTCAAAAATGATTTGCACGTGGACCTTGACTTCCGGAATATTTCCACATATCCTGGGGAGATGGGCGAGAATCCTGCCACCTTCGCCCGCATTCTGGGCCACCCCGAGGGACACTGCAGCCCGGCAGTCAGGGTGGACACAGCCGGGGGCGACCACAGGCCCAGGAGGAGCGGCCCTGGGCCTCCCGGACTCTGGCCGGCACCCCAACAGGCACCCCACAAAGACTCGTCCAAAGGCTACCCCTCTGGAAGATTTTCCAGGGCTGCCCTTTTGAGTGAATTATACAAGCCTGAGGGCAGAGGAAAGAGCTTTGAAAAGAGGATTCTTGTTTCCTTAAGCCCAGCCGGGCAGCCCCAGGCCCAGCCCCTTCCCTCCCTAAAGAGGTCTTCCAGAGGAGACTCAGTAATATCGTACCTGGTACAAAATAATCACTCTGTTTGGGGAAGATTAATATCTAAAATCATCTGTTTGGCTTCAATAAAAAGAAGTAATATTGTTAAATATGTAAGTATGACATTTTGAAGAATTTACCATATTGCACGGGCCTGGGAGCTCTGCTTAAGGAAATTAAAAACCACTCCAGTCAGTATACTTGATCCTTATTAAAGTTCTATCACTCCAATGAAACAAAAATAAACCAAGGAGAAATTTAAATAAAACCTATGGATTACACGCATTTGAAGAGGAGGAAAATGAACAGCATTCTGGCTTTAAAAAATTGATTTAGCATGCAGCTTCTCTTTATAGTCCCTTGATAAAAGTGAAATCTCCCTAACAAACACTTAATAAAACCTGTCAATATCTCGGGAAAGAAAAATGACACAAATGCATTAAGTATTAAATACCCTTGGAAAAAGTCACATATTCCATGAATTTTTGATGTACTATCTTGACATTAATGTAAAACCTTGATATTTATAATTGACAGATATTTAATAAAAGTATAAAAGGCGGCGGCGGCTACGGCAGAGCATGCAGATGTGCTCGGCGGATCAGAACGGGGGGACCGGCGTGCACCCGCACGAGCCGAGGGGGCCACACACCTCGCGCCTGCAGCCCGGTCCATGCTCAGACCACAAACTCGTGGGGCCAGAGTGAGCCGGACTCATGTCATGTGAGTCCTGCTGCCGAGACATCTGCTTGGAAGGGGGGGGAGGGAGGGAGGAAAGATCTTTGAGGCAAGACTTTTTTTTTCTCTTCTGGTTTTGTTTCCCCTTCTTTTTGCTTTTTTTTTAAAAAAAAAAAAAAACAAAATCACGTTGAATAAAAAATAATCAGCATTTGAAAAATCAAGACAGACAGCAATAAACACTTTCATAAACGAAGAGAAATTCCTTAAACTGGTTCTCAAAAGAAGCACATTTGACACAAAGAAAGATCAAGACCCCTTGAGGGAACCGGAAGGACAAACGGGAACTTCTGAGGAAGGGCCCTTGGCCAGGGTGGACCTGGTTTTCCCAGATTCAGGAAGGCAGCTAAGGGGGGCAGCACCCAGAGAAGGGCCTGAAGGAAAGTGAAAACCACCCGAAATACCACCAAATCACAGGTTCAACCACTGCGTCAGGGCAGACCTGACCCTCCTTCCAGACACACGCGCCTTCTCAACGGCCGCAAAGCGCTGGTCACGCAAAACCTGATTTCCAAGCTGTCCCTGGTTTGGTCCCATCAAAACCCAGAGCACTGTGAACTAAATTTCCCCCCTCAAATAAACCACGGCTGCATTTTTTTTCTTTTTTGGTTTTTGGGTCACACCCAGCAATGCACAGGGGTTCCTCCTGGCTCATGCACTCAGGAATTACTCCTGGCGGTATAGGATGCTGGGAATCGAACCCAGGTTGGCTGTGTGCAAGGCAAACGCCCTCCCCGCTGTGCTATCGCTCCAGCCCCAAACCATGGTTATTTTACCCGACTCCCTAAGCTGGCTCTTACAGGGGCAGTGGCTAAAAGACAAGGCCCCCCCAAGAAAGCCCTGAGGGCTTCAGGACCACCTTCCTGCACGAAGCAAGCGAGTGGAAACTTGGGAGCCGGGAGCCCAGCTCAGGCATGGAGCAGGCCAGAGACGTTCGAGCCAGGCCAGGGCTGGGCAGCCCCCTCCACCCCACGCCCCCCCACCCCCCACCCCCTGCTGGAGCGGCACCTGGCAGTTCCTGGCCAACTGCAGAGAAGGCAGAGGGAGCCAGAGCTCTGGCCAGCCGCGTTGAAGGCTAACCCCTCTCCACGGAGATCCCCATCCCCACACCCAGCCCAGGGGCTGCGAGGGGCGGGGACGAAGCGAGCCAGTAGGAAGCAGGGGTCTTCGGGGTCGGGAGGAGGAAAGGGGTGCAGAGGGGACACTTCCCCGGGTCCTGCAGGGCCCTCCCTTGGGAACAGCAGGCTCTCACGGGATACCTGCCTCCCTGCACGCTGAGGACAGGCTTCCCCAGGACCCAGCCTACTGCTCTCGTTTCAGATGAAAAAAAAACAGGGGGGGGGGGGGGGTGAAGGGCGGAACTACAGAACTTGCAATCTGCCTTACAAACACTGGACCCAGGTTGGACCGGGGTTTGATCCCCGGCATCCCAGATGGTCGCTGGAGCCTCCAGGAGTGATTCCTGTGCACAGAGCCAGGAGTGAGCCCTGAGCACTGCTGGGTGAGGCCCCTCACCTCAGTCCGAGGCTGGAGAGCCAGGGCGGGGGGGTCACAGCCCTTCCTACTCACACAGAACAGGAAGAAAGTGCCCCCGCCCACCTGCACTCAGGCCGCTCACGGCATCCCTGGTCAGTTCCAGGCTCCGCCCCCAGGGGGCGCTATCACCCACCCTGGGAAAC